GAGCCGACCATCGAATGACAGACCCACACGACCGGATTTGCACATTATGCCACGAGCTGGTAGGCGCCTTGCCGGTAGTGCACCTGTCCTTCTTCGATGGTATCGGGATCGCCTCCGAGGCACTCCGACGCATCAACGAGAACGTCATCATCACCCTCGCGTGAGAGATCGACTCCGATTGTGCAAGTTTCACATCGAAACTATTCGAATCTGTACACATGGGGGACGTCGGACAGTTCGACCTCGAAACTGTCGTACAACACATTGAGAATGCGACGAACAACAGACAGTACATCATGGTGATCACGGCAGGTCCTCCGTGCCCGGATTTCTCCGGTCTACGAAGTCAACCCAAAGGATCCGACGGCACATCAGGTTGGCTTTTCAGACACATGGTCGGCATCGAACATCAAATTCGAAAACGTTTCACGGGCGTCCCGATCGAGACGATCTTCGAGAATGTGGTGCCCCATCCTGATGTCCGAGACATTGTCGTGGAACTCACATCTCCGATGAGCATGGACCCGATCGTCATCGACGCCGCTGACTCCGGTGTTATGCGCCGCAAGAGACTGTGGTGGACATCGATCCCCTGGAACACCGTCGAAGAGAGACTGCCTCGGCTCACACCCTGGTCACTCGACTGGCGACTAGATGGAGAATGGCATCGACTACACAACCCGATTGGCCCCGACCTACAACCAGATTTCCGCCCGGGGATACTCCTTGCCACCGTGTCTCCACAACGACAAGAAACTGTTTCACTGTTTGACTACACCATCTACGTCGACATTCGGACGAGAACCCCCTAGACCCTAGACCACTTCGAGACCGCTCGACATCACAAGATGCATGGAACCGATGGGAACAGGACAACCGACGATACCCAGTATGGCAGTACGAAGACCAATTCCTCGTCACCTTGTCGGACGGGTCATGGAGTACGGCTCCATCGTCTCTACGCGAACAACTACAAGGCTTACCGCTGGACTACACGGCGACACTCGGAAATGGCGACGAGACAAAACGTTGCACGGCTTTGGGCAACGCTTGGCACCTACCTACGGCGATTTGGATCATCTTCCTGCTCCTGCTGGGGACAGTTGACGCATCCATACCCGATACACCTCGAGTTTCCCCATTACAACAGATCACTTCCTTTTGGTTGCACCATAAGGTACCATTTGGCCCACCACCCCGAACCCCGAATCATGACTACATGCCACAATTCTCCTGGACCGATCATCTCGACTGGGCATTACACAGGGATACACACTTATCACCGAAAACACTCGACCCTACGCTCGAGTGGTGCCTACAACATCGACATGCGTTCCACCCACTCATGGATTTCCAGAAGGCCGTCATCGCCGACATTAAAGAGCTCGTCGACGACATGGAGGAACACACGATGGCATGGTTCGACACCCTTCCAGAACACGTACAACGAGCATATCGCCATAAAAACTCGGTCACGCAGATACCTGTGCTTGTTCACCTTCTCCGAATGACACAATATCCACAAACCGAGTTGATCTACCGCGAGCTCTCCGAAGGTTTTCCTCTTATGGGGAAGCTGACTCCGGGAATTAATTGGCATGTGCGACAAGACCAGAAGTACCTCGAACCCACTCCCATCGACGAGTTCCGCGAGAATAACCGACAGTACATCAAAGAGAAGATCGACAAGAACTCCGTTGACGATCACTGGGAACTCATGCTGGACGAGATCTTGGCGGAAGTCGACATGGGCCGGATGAATGGCCCGTTTGAGGCGCCGGATTGGTGGCCTCGAACCGCGACCGTCCCACATAAAGGACGACGCAGAACCTTATTACCACTGCCACACTCCGACTCCGACCCATACATCGCCATGGCTTTCAGCATCGAACAGACGGGCAGCGACGGCAACAACAAGGTTAGAAGAGGCGAAGACTGGCGACGAAGTGGACACAATGCGACATGCACGATGCACGACCAACCATACCATCACACGCCCGATCACTTCATCTCCCTGGGACTTGCGACGATTCGACACGATCAACTCAAGCCCCTTTCGGTCTGGGGACATGACCACGACGGAGCTTACCGACAACTCCCACTATGAGATCCTCGTGAAGCATATGTGATGCTACTCACACCGGACGGCCCGACGCTGTGGAGCCACAACGTCCTACTCTTTGGTTCGGCAGCCAGTGTATGGTCGTACAATCGATTCGGCGACATCCTGGTCGCGTGCAGTCGCACGATGATTCTGTCCCCAGCGATGCACTACGTCGACGACTACGGATCTATGGAAGACTCCGACTTGGCCAAGGGCAGCTTCGAATCCTTCGAAGAGTACAACGGGTGTCTACAAATCCCGATGAAACCCAGTAAAAGACAACCACCTCAAACTGCACATCGGATCCAGGGCGTCATCATCTCTTCCGACAGCGACAACCTGGTGCTGACTCCGTGTCCCAAACGCGTTGAGAATATGTGTAAGCAGATCGACACACACCTTGCGACTTCGTCATTGTCACCCGAACAAGCCAGGAAAATGGCTGGGAAGTGCAATTTCCTCACCGGCCGACTATTCGGGAAAGTGGGCCGTGCGGCCCTGAAAGCATTATATGCTCGCGCCCATTCCCACTCACATGCTCTCGACAAACCCACTCGATCTTCACTACTCACTACTTGCGCTCAAGGACATCATACAACATTGTCGCCCGATGACGATACCGCGACAGATGACCCGACCTAAATACAGTGTCATCTACACGGATGCGTACTTCCGCCTGGGCGCCCACATCTATAGACCGGGGGACGACGACATCCCGAATTGGGACTCGAAATCTACATCCGACATCGAAAACGGATGGGCTGCAGTTTGCTTCCACCACGGTGATGTGCAAACGGCCGCTTACTTCCAAGGTCGTCTCCCCTCACTACTCGTACGACAGTTTTCCTCCGACCAGGCTTTCATTTACCTCCTCGAAGCTTGGGTCGCCATGTTGGCTCCACTGGTCTTCGAGCCATGGCTCGACAAGTTCTACGTCCAGTGCTGCGACAACGAGGCCTCTCGACACGCCCTCCTCAAAGGCGTCGGCAAACATCAGCCCCTAAATTGCCTCATTGCGGCACATTGGACTTGGCACAATCGACGAAGTCTTGCACACCGACTCGAACGTGTTCCCACCAAAGCCAACATCTCCGACGGGATCAGCCGCTTCGAGCACGTACCAGAGTCTGAGACATGGACTAAACTCGACTTACCTTTGAACGCTCTAACTAGTAGGGCTGCGAAGATCATAGGAGACATTCATTTTGCTTCTTCTACGGTTTTTTCCGACATACCCGAAATTTGCAGATTGCACGATCGGCTGACTGCGATGCTCATTTGACTTACCTTTCGAGTGGCGTTCGCCTGCGATGGGAGGACGCGACCACCCTCGATGGGAACCAGTCGGTCCTCCCAGCAGAAAGAACTTTGTTGCTTCCTGTTCGGAAGACCTACATCGATCTGTAAGATCGATGACTGCGATCTGTAAGATCGAAGCGCAGACATAACGCCACCGAAGCGGAAGCAGTTGGAAAACAGCTTCGCGCCAGCCAGGGATTCATGGCTTTTGTGTGAGATTCTCGTTGTCGTGTAGCACACACTTGTTTGTGCGAAGTGACAACTCATTATCTCACTTGATCACCGAATCGGTCAGGGGATAGACTCACCGATTCAATTCGAATGATTGTATACTCCGTGGCCATTTTGGCGAAAAGCTGTTCCAGCTTGAGAAATTTGTTTCACCCACCCGTCCCGACCCTCTTTATACTACGATGTACTTTCCTCTGCTTCCTGTCTGCGAGCACCGCCTGGGAACCAGTCGGTCCTCCCAGCAGAAAGAACTTTGTTGCTTCCTGTTCGGAAGACCTACATCGATCTGTAAGATCGATGACTGCGATCTGTAAGATCGAAGCGCAGACATAACGCCACCGAAGCGGAAGCAGTTGGAAAACAGCTTCGCACCAGACAGGGATTCATGGCTTTTGTGTGAGATTCTCGTTGTCTTTGTGATTTTTTGGAATGAAGATGGAGATAAAGCAACGAACCTTGCAGCCAAGCCATGTTTTTTCCATTCGCAATTGACTCTCGAGCCAATGGTGCGTGTTTTGGTAGCATGGCAGCTCAGTCTTCGAGGTTTGCTGCGGGATTGAGCAATTTCTCTGCCACTGGCGTTGAAGCAAGGCATTGACTCATTCGGAACGGAAGCTGAAGCCAATGGTGTGATTTCAGCCAGCGTGGCAGCTCAGTTTCGGCATTTGCGGAGAGATTGAGGAATTTCTTGACCGGTGGCTCTTAGGCAAGGGATCGATTTGGTTTCTTTCCAGAAGCAATCAAGTTCAACACCAGCCTTTTGCAAGAGGTGGCCCCGGCCATGGCGACAGTGGCTACTACTCCCAGGCCGGAGCCCGGTCTTGGAGTAGTAGCCACTGGCGACTGCCGTCGACCCGTACATTTCCTGCTTGGCTTGGAACAGGCTGACTCTGAAGTCCATAACGACATGCCACCCGGCGACTGCTTGCCTGGCCATCCACTCAATCCGTGGCTTGGGCTGGGCTTGAGTCCATTTGCCAGACAATGTCCGGCAAATCGAATCAAGCCCAGTGGCCAGCCTGTAGCAAGCCAGGCAGGCCGTCGTGGCATCCAGCATGGCCTGTCTGGCTTGCTACAGGCTGGCTGTGAAGTTGGTTTTTGCTATATTGGCTTCCTCTGGGGAGAATATGTGATGATGGCCTCGTTGGGTTGCTACAGACTGACTCTGAAGTCTGTCTATGACATGTGTGGTTTTTGCTTTGTTGGCTTCCTCTGGGGAGAATATGTGATGATATGGGCTTGCTGCTCGAGTGGTCGAGACGATGTGGTCAGCAGGGTATATTGACGACATGGCTCAAATGTTCCAGGGTCGTTTGTGCTCAAGAACGGAGCTAGCAAGTGTTGGGCTGGGCCACGTCCACCGGCCATGAGCTCTGCTGTGGCTTCGGCCTTGCACGGCTTGGTCGGGCCTCTGGTTGGACTGAACAGGAGGCTGGTTGTTTGCGAGCCTTGTGCTGGAATAAGTGCCTGGAAAGCCATATGTGACAGCGTCGGATTAGTTTGGCCCCCCGAGGATTGCTACGAGTTTGATGCAGCTTTAGGTGCCTTTTGGAGGAAGCATTTGGGAACACGTGCCCAGTCCATGCATCTGGACAAAGCTGGTGACATCAACTTCATAAATTGCAATGATCTTGAGAGTGAAGTCGAGGTGCTGGTGGCAGGACCACCATGTCAGCCTTGGAGTCCCAGTGGCAAGCGAGGGGGTGAATACGACGACAGGAGTTTGGTTTATTTGCAGGTGATCAGCATGATCGTGCATTATGCACACAAAGGCTCCTTGTTGTTTTTCCTCGTGGAAAATTCATCATTGCTGGCCAAGACTGCTTTCTTAAGGGATGTCATGCAATACTTGTCGGTGGCCATTCCGTGGTTTGTTGTGGATTATGTCCAGCAGGACCTCCAGGCTGTGTTCCCCCATTCCAGGTCCAGGGTGTGGTTGCGTGGACTTCGCCGAGATTGTTGCAAAGAGAACATAATCCCGCCCAGGCTGTCCCAAGCCCACCTTGAGGTCCTTGTTGATGCAAGGCATTGGCAACACGGATCTCGGTTTGCTGTGTGCAAAGCAGCAGCACAATCTGGAACAGTACAAAGGTTTCGTCAAGCGAGATTTGCTTGACGGCCACGGCTTTGAGATTGCGGTCCTGGAAGTAGACAGAGCACCTGGCAACCTGTACGGTTCTCGATATTATCGGGACGTTTGCCCGGCTTTGCGAACTTCAGGTGGTAGCTTGTTCGTGTTGTCCACAGGTGACCTAGATCAGGAGTGGCGGGACCAGGAGTTCCACCGGCCCTTGACCGCTCAGGAGAGACTTGTGTTGCAGGGGCACAGCGGTGAGTTGTATTATGATTTCTACAGATCCTCCGACTGTGTGAAAGCCACGGGCAATGCGTTTCACACATTGGCTTTGGCCATGATGATGCAGCCTTTGTGTCAGGCTGCAATGGATGCTGGAAAGCTGCAAAGCAGCAACCAGCAAGCCCCCTTGCAGCCGAATGAGGTAGCAACCCTGTGCAGTGTTGCAGATGCTGGAACTCAAGCTTTCAAAAAGCTTCGGAGAATATAGCTGAGCAAATTAAGTATTTTCAAATTCTGATGCATTGGCATGAAATTAGCATTGCCAGAACCTGCTGCTAGTTTGTGGAAATCGACCACAGACTCAGGGCTTAAGAGGCAACAGGACAGCACGAAAACTTGCAGACAGCGATGCCTTAGAGGGGATGATATTCATGGGTGATTCTTGCGAAGACCGTTTGTGCGATTCTGAAGTACATGTTGGTTGGTCGCGGCTGTTTTGGCCCAAGGCTTGGAAACCGAGTCCGTCCCCTTGAAACAAGAGTCTTTCCTGGATTCCTCACTCCTTGACGAAGCTTCAGAGCTTGGCTTGGAGAGCGAGTCCCCTCGAAACAAGGGTCTTTCCTGGATTCCTCACTCCTTGGCGAAGCTTCAGAGCTTGGCTTGGAGACCGAGTCCCCTCGAAACAAGAGTCTTTCCTGGATTCCTCACTCCATCTCCCTTGGCTTGGAGACCGAGTCCCCTTGAAACTTCTCAGGTCCCTTAGATTTCTAGTGGCAGGCATGACGGAGTCAGAACTTCGATGCATAAAGTGCGACGATGCGGTGACACTTGAGACTAGTCACGCCAGTGGACGGAACGTCCTAAGGCGTGTCTGCGGGGGTTGTTCCTCCACTGACAGGTGGCTCCAAAGGTCCCGCAAAACTAAGGACAAGAAGGGGGGGGAAACGGAAAAGGAACGAGAAGCAAGAGTGAACCCCGAAAAAGTGGCCGTGTCGCTCAGCAAAATGAGCACTGAGGAGAAGTTTGCCTGGTACAGAAAACAGAAAGCGCAAAGGGCCGAAAGCGGCACAAGCCGCAAGCGTACCTTCGAAAAGGCGGTAGGAGCTTTGACGGAAGAGAGGAAGAGGCTGGAAAGCCAACAGGACGTGGACCGGTGGTTCCGGTTCAAGGACTGGGCGGCGAGGGAGGCGTTGCTGACAGGAGCAAAGCCCGAAGAGCTGCCCAGGTTGTGGAAGGCAGAGACCTCGAAGCCCGGCGCAATCACGAAGGTTGTGCGAGGCGAGCTCTTGTTGAAGGAGTGGTCAGGCTGCGAAGACCGCTTGGGGTCGCAGCACGAGCTGTCCACCTCCGTGAAGCAGAGGATGGATCTCTTGTCAAAGGAAGACCTGGAGAGATTCCAGGAGATCTCTGCTGGCAGGCTCGAGCGAGGACAGAACCTCCTTTCGGCCGACCGTCTTGTGAACAGTGCCAACAACACAAGGCAGGAAAGCCAACTCCTCAATGTCGTGGCTGACATGGAGGAGGCGGCACAAATCCGCAGGGAGCTGGAGGCCCGTCTCTTCGAAGAAGCCGAGATCGCCGAGGCGAGGCGAAAAGCGGCGCAGGAAGAGAAACCGAAGGTTTCCAGTGCAGCACTGGAGAAGCTGCAGTACGGGCAGTCGATGGTTCAAGCGGACACCACGATCGAGTCGTGGTTGCGGAAGCATCGGAATGCCTACACCGGCATGGTTGCGGACATCAAAGAATGCGGCATCGAATCCGATGCTGGCGGCAAATCCGAGCTGCAGATCAAGACCCAAGACTTCGAGAGGCTGGTCTCCGAGCTGAAGCGGGAGGTGATGGAGAAGCTTCAGACACTTGGCTCATTACAGATCTTTTTGTGTTGCAATCGTGAGCCGAGGGAGTTGACTAGTCAGGGTTGTCCCGGCTTCAATCCTAAAGCAATCCTCGACGGATCCCATCGGAAAACCCAGTAAGCACTCGAGGAGTACACTGCTGAAGGTTCCAGTGGGAGATCCTGGAGTTGTCTCGGAAAGAAGTCGGCATTTTGTCACTTCGTGTTCAGAGTTCTCCTTTGCCAACAACCAGAACCATCTTTATCAACACGTCACCATCCTATCATTTTGCACACCACACACCAGAGACACAGATGTAGACAGATACATACACACATGCATACATTCATACATGCCTTGTGCATGCCATAGCTCTGCTTGTTCCGATTTTCGTCAATGTGTTGGCCTTACCTAGCGGAGGCATGGCACGGGCTCTTTAAATGCCACCCCGCACAGACTCTGGCCGTGTCTGGGGCCGATCATGTCTTGCCGTGCTGGAGCAGCCCCTTAAAGCCAACTCGCTCTGCCCGGGGCGTATGACAGCAGGACATTGAGCTAACGTGTCTGCTGGGGGGCTGAAGTCAGTGACCTTTCACGGGAATCTGTGCAAGTCGCAAGCATGATCTCACAAGGGAGGCCTTATTGTTCATGCCGTCGCATAAAATTTACATGCATATGTATATACACACGTAGACACGAACAGCCTGACTTTCCGATGCTCATGACTTGTATGTTGATTGTGCGTGATAGGAATTCAGCTGCAGGAGCAACAGCGATGCACGAACAAACTCTCCCGAAGGGGGATGTTTTCTTATTTGATTGTTTTCATGTTTGGAAAAATTGTTTACAATTTTTCATGCGCACTTTTTCTTTCATGCCTTGCTGGAGTATGTCGCATGACTTTTGATTTTCTCACGATTGCCTTACCATGCTTGGCTTGGTACTCGCAGTTTTGCTTGCAGGCGGCTGCAGCGCCCGCCTCCTGCCTTGCGGAGGCTTTTGCTCCTCTGGCTCTGGGAGCGTCTTACACTTCGAGGCTGGCAGTCTGCTATTTTGCGCCCTGACCCGCCAGCGCGCTTGGGTATTCCTCAGTTCCTAGGAGCAGCCTCAGCCGGAGCCCACATTTTGCTTGGCGTTGGTGTGGATCGACTGTTTCCTTTGAGGGCTAGTTGCAGAGCTGTGGCTACCATTTTCTGTACGATTGCTGAGCTCGTGCACCGAGCTCGTGGCCGCCTGAGTCGGATTTACCAACGTAGGTGAGCGCTCGCATAGTCTGGGGTATGGCGCGACCGCTCGACAGGCTGTTGCTTGCTGCAGACAAACATGTGTCCAAGCATTCCCTCAAGATGCCATGGGAACGCGGGGCGATGAGAGCAGTGTTCTCGCAGAGCGACCTGAGTTCACTCTCCCAGTGCAGTGTGCCAGCTCCTCTGCAGACGGAGCCCCTGGATTCCGCTTCTTTCGAGGAGGCAGCCGCCAAGGCTCGCCCCCAAGAGCATGCTTCGCAGTTTGTGCAGGTCGCTTTCTCTGCCAGGAAATTTCAGAGGCCCCAAGAAACCGAAGAGCAACAGTTGCAGTTGCTTGCAGCGAGGTACGATGTCCTCTTGAGCCACGCATACGAATGCTCTTCCCTTGGCAGACTGTTGAAGGACAAGTGCGAAGCAGATCGGGTCGGTCTTGTTGCCGAAGCCCTGGGTGGCAAGGCCCTCTCGACTTTGAAGAAGCGATTGTCCAGTCTTGCTCGCATGGTGGGATGGTGCTCGGACCAGGGCATGTCAGCTTTTCCGATCGACTCTCAGGTGCTGATCGAATACACCCAGCATTTGCTGCAGAGCGGTGCCTCGCATTCTGTGTTTGGATCTTGCATCGAAGCTTGTAACTTCGCTAGATTCATCTTGGGTGTGGAAGCAATTGGTGATCCTCACAAGCACCCGCTTGTGCAAGGGCGCCTTCGCAAGGTGCGGTTCAACCGTCCGCCTCGTGTGCAAGCCAGGCCTTTTCAGGTTCGCGAGGTGGCGTATCTTGAAGCTTTCGTCCAGGACAGCTGCCGTGATGCAAGGGACAGATATGCTGCAGGTGCTTGCTTGTTTTGTATTCACTCGAGAGCCCGTGTAGGGGATGTGAGGGCAGTCAAGATGGTGACCATCGATTTTGCCGACGGTGAAGGTTTCCTTGAGTGCATCTCAACGTCACACAAGTGTGCATCGACAGGCAACCCGTTGGGGCTCGAGTTGAGCCTAGTGGCCCCAGAGCGGGGTGTGGGTCAAGGTCTTTGGGCTAAAGCTTGGGTCGAGGTGTGGCGCTTGTCGGGCCATCCAGTCGCCACTGGAGCCTGCAGCCTGCCTCTGCTGCAGTCGCCTATGCTCAATGGGTCTTGGAGCGGTCGTCGGATTCCGACGGGCAGGTTTGTGTCCTGGATTTCTTCGATCCTTAAGTCCGGGGATGCGAGCATGGGGGTTGACCTCAAAGGCCACTCGTGCAAGCATACTGCCCTCTCGTGGGCAAGCAAGACGGACATGTCCAAGGACACTTGCACCATCTTGGGACATCATTCCTTGAAGGATCGACGATCGGTCGTTACATACTCCAGGGACATTCAGGCTGGACCGTTGCGGGAGTTGTGTCAAATGTACTGTGACATTCGGTGTGGCCGGTACCTCCCGGATATGACACGGTCGGGGCTTTATGCAAAGGTCCTTGGCGCTGCTGAAACGGGCGAGGAGCTACCTGGTGACAGTGTGTTTGAGACTGAGGCTGAAAGAAACTGGTATCGGCCGGCAGTCAGCCCTGACTCAGCATGCGAATCGGAAGCTGTTCGTAGTGTGAGTGCTCCAGCCTCCGAGCCAGCTTTCGGCGATCAAAAGGATGCCAGCGACGACGACACTCCTTTTGGTCGTGCTGTGGACTCCTTGATTCATAGCGCGGAACGAGCTGCCTGGGAGGACCCCGATGCTGCCCTTGAAGACGATGGTCCCCAAGGTGATGTGTCAGGATCCTCTTCGTCTAGCGAGTCTAGTTCAGATTCAGGCTCGTCTGACAGCGAGATAGATGAAGTTCTGACCGCGAGTCAGGCGGATCCCCAAGTGGGGCAGAGGTACCATGATCGGTGCCCGCTCTATCAGCAGAAGAGCACGAGGACTCTTCACCTCAAGCCTGCGGGAAGCTCCACGGAGCGTTTCATATGTGGTCGTGACATCACGGCGAACCACAAGCCGTTCACGTCGGCGGTTCAAGCAGCGCATTGGCGCTGCAAGCAATGCTGGAAGGGAAAGCCCATCAGGGATTTAGGGTCCCTGGTGCACTGTCTCGACGAGCGCTTGAAGAAGATTCCGAGGTCCTCGTAAAAGTCTGCTCGGTGTGTTGCAGGAGTCAGACCCCGAGCCTAGAGGCCCCGAGTTCTTAGATTGACTGCAGTGGGTGTTTGTTGAATGCATGCGGGACTGTCTTTGTTGATTGCATGCAGGACGGCTCAGACATCTTGCGGGATCATGTGTCATGGCATGTTGGTCACTACCTTGCGGGAGTCCGGATGTGTTTCGATGTCATGGCATGCACACTAGGCTTTTGTTAGGTCTGTGCGTGTAGGATCCGTTTTTGTGTCATGGATTCCATCTTGAAGAGTCAAGCGGCTTTTGAGGAGAGGGCCAAAGAATGCGGATTGGCGCAAGCTGAGCTCGATGTGCTTGTGCGAAAGGGGCTGACTTCTTTGTCGCTCCTTGCATTCAGTGTTTCGACCCCGGGAGAAGTGCCGCAGGAAGCTGAGCTCAGGTCCATCCTTGATCCCACGGATCCTGCGACTGTGCCACTGCGTGCACTGTCGGCGCTACGGCGCCTCATGTTTGAAGCTCAAACCTTATCCATTGCCCAACTCAAGAGCTCGATCGAGGGTGAAGGTGACCGGAAGGCGGAGCTGGCCCCTGCAGAGCGAGCAAATCGCCTGGCCGATCAGCGTAAAAGACTCATCGGTCTCAGCTTGACAGGTCCTTTGGAAAACGCCTTCAGCAATTACGCTTATGTTGCCCAGGTCGTTGATCAGGATTGCCTCTCCTACCTGGAGCCTCACAGGTTCCTGACCAGGGCCATGGAGGTAAATCGTGAGAAGCCGGGGAAGGAGTTGGTCTTAGATGAGGGCTCGCGCATGAGTATCCGCGACAAAGCTCACAAGGACAAGTGTGGCATTCAGAATGAATTACAGCTCTCTGAAGCCCTGTGTCGCAGAGCATTGTCCTGTGATCTTTTGCATCTCTGCACCTTTGCCAACATGGACATGTGGCACAGGCATCTGCTTTCCAAGCTGTCGGAACAGCCGCCTCCTTATTACGCCAAGGTTTCGATGGAGCAGCTGCTCAGGTGCGACAAGGCGGCTTGGGTTCGCATGAGTGAGCTCTTGACCACGTGAAAGAAGGACGATGCAGGAAACCTTCCGATGGATACTGCTCTGGATAAGCTTCAGTATGATCCAAAAATCATGATGCATTTGGCCCCGCTTCCTGGGGCCAAGTGGAAAGGCGATGGAAAAGGCGACAAGGGCACCAAACGCGATGCTGACGGCAAGCCGAAGTTGCCCCACCGTCCCACCAAAGGTGCTGGCAAAGGGAAATGTCCTGAGGCGTTGTCTGACTCTCGCTTGAAGCACAACTGTAGCAAGACGAAGAAACGCTTGTGTTGGAATTTTAATTTGCAGACTGGATGTAAGTTTGCGAAATGCGGTGAAAGCTGCAAACGGGGCCTGCACATTTGTATGTTCTGCGAGCAGCCCCACTCCCTTCTTCAATGCCCGACTTACAAAGTCCACGAGTGACGGGAGGCTGCCGCTGCCGAGGCCGATTCTCTTGTTGATGAAGCAATGAGCCCTTCGGTCTCGTCCCATGCGGCAAATCATGATTGCATGTTGGCACAGATCGACCCGGTTGGTCCGTTGGAACGTCCCAAGCCAGCCTCATCAGTGCTTGATCGAATTCCGAAAGTTGTGATTGATGAGCGAGTTTTTCCCTTGCCCGCTGAGCGGCGAGTGCATGCCTCTTTGCATCCCGCAGAGCAATTTGCGCAAGACGTGCTGTCGTCTGGTGAACCTGTGACAGCAGCTTGTGTTGAGCGCCTTTTCAATTTGTTACCTGCTAGGTTGGATGAGCGATTTGGTTCGGATTCTGGCAGATCCTTTGTAGCAGGTGTTTTCCGGCATGGGGGTGTCGTTGGCCTCACGAACACCTGTCGTTCGTTTCCCCAATCAGTCACCTTGGCCATCACTTGGGCCATGCAGCAAGCCGGGTCCAAGATTTCAGATTTTACATTTTGCTCGATTTCTTTGAACCTCAACGTAAAGACTGAAGTTCACCGCGACGTGAACAATGATGATGCTGACAATCTCGTGCTGGCTGTCACCAATTTCTCAGGCGGACACATCTGGGCCCAATCCGAGTCCGGCAGCCACATGCTGCCTGTCAATGGGTCCTTGGTCCCTGGAGAATTGTATGACGTTGCAGCAGCCCCAGTGCGTTTCTATGCACGAAAGCGCTTGCATTGCACGATGCCTTGGACGGGCGACAGGCTAGTCCTCATTTTGTTCTCGGGCGGGGATGCAACTCAGTTACCCAGCCTTGACTTTGAGCACCTTAAATCCCTTGAGTTTAGGCCTGCGGTTTCAGCGTCCACGGCCTGCCCGCCGTTGGCGTATGTTCCACCGCCTGCCGGAGCCCTTGAGCCATTGCTTTCTAAGGTGTCTGCCAAGGTCAAGGGGGTGCCTCTTGATAATCTCATGTTTCTTGATGTTTTCTGTGGTACGGGGGGCCTCTGTGCATCCATCAGGCAGCTAGGCATGAAGCTAAGTGTCGGTCTAGACCGTCACGCGCAACGAGGTTGCAAATGTCCTGTTGTCTCACTGGACCTCACGAAGCCAGGATCTCGGGCCATTCTGCATGATCTCCTCAAACAGCCTAATGTTGTTGCGTGCCACTTGTCTCCACCTGTAACCACCAGTTGTGCCTCCCTGCACGGCCCTCGCTCAGGTGGTTTCCGCAATGCCGCGCACCCTGAGGGCCTGCCAGGTTTGCAAGGTATTGATCTTGAATTGGTCCAGGGGGCCAACACACTTTTCGCCATGTGTGCCGAGGTCTGGCATTTCTGTTGGAGCCATGGAGTATTTTGCTCCATTGCTCACCCGAGTCGATCCATCATGTGGCTTTCAGCGTCACTTCGCTCCTGTCAGTCCACACCTTTCCTCTCCACCTCCCTGCACCAATGCATGTTCGGCTCCTACCGCAGGAAGGCCACTCGCCTCTTGCACACGGTGCCCTACCTGCAAAAGCTTGGTGTGACCTGTGACGGCGACCATGATCATGAACCGTGGCGATCCCCTGCACAAAATCGCCTGAAAGATGCAGGCCTGCCGCCTCTATTGTGCAAGACTTTTGCCCAAGCACTTGTGGATCAGCTGCTTGCGTGCGGTGCGCTTGCCCCGGCGTCCTCTCTTGCAAATGCTTCCCTGTCGCTCTCCATGGGCGCCCGTGTTGCTACAGCGACACAACCCTCGGGTCGCAGGATCCCTCCACTGGTTCCTGAGTTTGCTCGCACAGTAAAGTTGGCAGGCCCGGCCGACCAGCTGCCGTGCACCTCAAAGACCAAGCTGGTGTCACCGTGGGCGGTTCCCACTACTGTCTTCTGCCAACCTTTTGTTGCATCTTTGCCGCCAGGTTCCAAATGCCTCCGAGCCAGCCCTTTGGTTCCCCGGGGTCTGGCGCCTGCCTCGGAGCCGGCTACAGGTGCGGGTTTAGGTAATCCTGAATCCTCTGCTTCCTTGTGCCAGCCGGCACCTGCCTTGCCTGCGGTTGCTGAGGGTGTGGTTTCAGGTAGTCCCGACTCCCTAGCCCCCCAATGCCAACCGGCAACCTTGCCCCCAAATGCAGCCAATGCGATACCTAGTGCCAGATCTGAGCTTGAACTGCTTTTTGGCATACCATGGACGCCTTCGGAGTTCGTTGAGCAGGCCTGCAAAGCGAAACACCCGCGCTCCTTGGATCAAGGCGTGCCAGCCGGCATGTCAGCCTGTATCGATCGCTTGTGTGAGCACAGCTCGGTCAGTGTGGCGAGGGAACGCACTGCCGAACTTCGCAAGTGGATGCTTAGGAAGAAAGATCTTGATGAGAGTTTTGATGGACCCGCGCATTGCAAGCAGATTCTAGCTGGAAAACCCATGAAACTCTTCGGGGAAATGGTCGAGGCTGCCGGACATGCTGATGTGAACTTGGTACGAGATATACATAACGGTTTCGACCTGCTTGGCGAGATCCCTTCCTCGTCCGTCCTGCCGAAGAAAACCACAGTGGCATCTCTCAGCATCGAGGACGTAAGAATCGCCACCCCGGCGAATCAGCGTGCGATTTGGGAGGCTACCCGCACTTGCAGGGATCCTGAAATCACTTCGGAAGTGTATCGCCTTACCTTGGAGGAGCTCGCCGATGTGCCAGAGACTGCCATCGTTACACGCCGTTTTGGCGTCAGGCAAGGTGTGACGACGACGGCCACCGGTGTGGCGGCTAAGATCCGTCCCATCGACGACTTCACAGAAAGCCTGGCTAACTTGTCGTGCACGTGTGCGGAAACCATCGACCCGCATTCAGTGAACATCATTGTTGCCGGGATCTTGAAGCGGTGCAGGTCGCTACGGAAGTCCGGGAGGGACGCACGCTTGCTCCTTCGTACAATAGATCTACGAAAAGCCTATAAGCAACTTCCTTTATCGGAGCGTGCCTTGGGGGATGCTTATATATGTGTGCTTAACCCGAATACGGGTGAGCCTGAGCTCTACCAGAGCCAGGTCTTACCTTTCGGCGCAAAGCCCTCTGTACAAGGCTTTTGTCGTGCATCAGGGGCGATCTGGGCAGTTGGACAGGCCCTGCTCCACATCCACTGGTCCGTCTTCTTTGACGATTATGTGGTAGTGGCCTCACCCGAGGAACAGGGTCACCTTGATCTTGTGTTACGGTCGTACTTTGCCTTGATCGGCTGGGAAACGTCCGATGAAAAGGACGCCGGGTTCAAAAGTGTGGCAAAAGCCTTAGGCGTAGAATTTAGCTTGGACGAGATCCACTTGGGTCTGCTTAGGGTGCAAAACACAGAGGCCAGGAAGCGCGAGCTTGTGTCCACCATCGAATCCATCGTGCAGCAAGGTGGAGCGCATGCCAAAGAGCTTGAGTGCCTGCGGGGCCGTCTTCAGTTTGCCGAGTCGCAGGTGTTTGGTCGGGGCGCGGCCCAACGCATGCGAGCTATATCAAAGGCAATGAAGCTTTCAGGTTTTGTGGCTCTTGACGACTCCTTGACCGAGGCCCTGCTTTTCTTGAAAGATCGAGTTTTGCACGGGGAAGCAAGGATGATCAGGGCCTGTGATCGTCCCACCTATCACTTGTTCACGGACGCTTCCTATGAGGCGGATGTGCCAGCAGGTCTAGGGGGCATCCTTTATAGTGATGGGGGTTTGCTTCTTAGGTGGTACTCTGAGTCTGTCGACACGGACGTTCTAGAGGCCATTAACAAGGAAGGCAAGAAAGGTCTGATCTACGAGTTGGAGGCTTGTGCTGCAGTGCAGGGTGTGGTGCAACTTTGCAATTCCTTGAATGACTGCAACCTCATTTGCTATTGCGACAATGAAGCCGCCCTCGCGGCTCTCATCAAGTGTGCTTCCGAATCCCCGGTGGTGGCATCGCAGCTCAACAAGCTCAGCATGCTTGAGGATGAGAAAGGAATCAGTGTATGGTTCGAGAGAGTGGAGTCGTCTGCAAACCCCGCCGACGATCCTTCACGCTTTGTGCTTGACAAGCTCCCCACTAGTTTCAGAGTCCGTTGGATGCCAGGCGAAGAGCTGTTGTTCTAGCGGCATCTGATCTTGAATGGGGAGTGGCATCATCTGCCTTTCACTTGCAGGATGTTTTCACTTGCGGGAACGTGCCGGAAATCTCGATGCAGGATACTCTCAGCTTTGCCATTTTCTGAACATCGGCCACGAATGTGGAGCCGGAATCGTTACCAGTCTGCACCCCTCGCTCTAAAAAGAAACAGTGCAGTGCGAGTGTTTCTGTCCGTGAGTGCAGTTGTGATGCAGTCATGTCCATGTGCTTCATGTTCTGTTTGTGCGCTTGGATTGAAAACATAACCAAATAAGAACAAACTCTCCCGAAGGGGGATGTTTTCTTATTTGATTGTTTTCATGTTTGGAAAAATTGTTTACAATTTTTCATGCGCACTTTTTCTTTCATGCCTTGCTGGAGTATGTCGCATGACTTTTGATTTTCTCACGATTGCCTTACCATGCTTGGCTTGGTACTCGCAGTTTTGCTTGCAGGCGTGAGAAAATTTTTGTCCCGCCCACCAGCCCTTCTGGTGTGGGGAGTGGCATCATCTGCCTTTCACTTGCAGGATGTTTTCACTTGCGGGAACGTGCCGGAAATCTCGATGCAGGATACTCTCAGCTTTGCCATTTTCTGAACATCGGCCACGAATGTGGAGCCGGAATCGTTACCAGTCTGCACCCCTCGCTCTAAAAAGAAACAGTGCAGTGCGAGTGTTTCTGTCCGTGAGTGCAGTTGTGATGCAGTCATGTCCATGTGCTTCATGTTCTGTTTGTGCGCTTGGATTGAAAACATAACCAAATAAAGCCTTTTGAGTTCCATTGAAACTTTGGTTATTGCTGGAGGCTTCACTCCTGTGTTCCTTGAAACTAAGACACCCTAAACCCTAAACCCAAAACCCTAAAAGAAACCTTAAAGCCTAAACCCTGAACAGCGGGTATGTGATGATTCTAAGGAAAATCAAGGAGGATGGGGAGGCGGCTGGCCCGACGGACTTGGAGGAACTGGCTCGGCATTGGAATGCACTCTACATTCGGGTGTCCAAGACTGTGAAGGAGGTCGCGACCTGCCAACCCGCCGCCGATCTGAAGAAGTTCTTGGGCGGCTTCCGGAGCTGCGTGAACCAGTTCAAGAAAAAGGTCGGGAACTCGAAGAAGACAAAGAAGGACAGCAGCAAGGACGAGAACAAGAAAGCGAAGGTGAGCGGCTCTCCTGCGGGAACTGGTACGAAGATGGGCGAAGAGATCCTCAGCAGCTATGCCGGGGCCTTGAATGCCGGGCAGGAGGTGTCCGAGAATTTCAATTTGGCCAATGAATGCTTCAATGCCCTCGACTGGCTGTGCCAGGGCAAGGGGTCGCAGTGCCTGCATATCACCGCAGCGCAGACAAAAAGCCTTCGTCGATGACATCTGTGGGCTGACCTACTTCACTCAGCAGAAAGACTGGGTCTATGAGAGCTGGAACAAGGACAAGGCCAAGGCCCAGGTGTCCTTGGCCCTTGTGGCCAAGAGCAACATTGCGACGAAGATCCTCAAGGCTTGGGCCCACGTGCTGGGAAAAAAAGCAGAAGATGAATTGATCTCCGTGAGCACGGACGTGGATCCCCTCCTCGGCGAGATCTTCACACCCTGCTTTTCGTCCTTCGGCAAGAAGACCCACAAGATCTTCTACTCCACCGACTACGGCCTGACGGAGTTCAAGGTGATCTTGGAAGGGGCATGACTTTTCATCGGCAGGCCTGTGCCAGATGACGGCCTCAAAAGCTTCGGCAGCTTCTGCCAGACCGTGAGCGAAAACGAGAGCCAGAACTGGCTGGATGAGTGCAACGATCATGGCTGGGCTGTTCTGCTGAAGAAAGGCGACATGCTGGGAATCCCAGCTGGCCACGCCTACATTCCGGTCTGTGTGGAAGACGGTGTCAGGATCCTGAAGGGCTCCCGCCGTGGTCTCAAAGCCAGCAAAGAGATCCTGCAGGCCAGGATCGAGCAGTGGCCGGAGTTGCAAGAGCATCGTACCGGAAAGCTGTTGGCCTGGGCGAACTCGGTGTGAAAGAGTTTTCTTTTTCTGGATGGGGTTTTCCGGAGCGATGGAAGAGACGTGGGTCCAGCGAGGCGTTGCTGAGCGGGAGGGAGAGACCAGGCTTGCCATGCACACACCAAGATGTGTGTGTGTGTGTGTGTGTGTGCGACGTTTGATCTTTGTCCAGGGTGACCTGCAATGCTTTTTCTTCGAGCCCGAATCTTCGGTGGTTCATCCCAAGGTTTGCTTCTCGCTATCGCAATTGCGACCTTCCGCAGCTACCGGATTGCGAGAAAAAGAGTGCTTGTGTGCGAAGCGGTAGGATTGTTGCTGAAAGCGTGTGTTCATGTTCTCTCCATGTTCTCTCCATGCAGCTGTTGGCCTGAACGGCTTCCGTGGCAATGTGAAACGGTAGGATTGTTGCTATAAGCGTTTGTGCATGTTCTCTTCATGTTCTCTCTCCATGCAGCTGTTGGCCTGACGGGAAGCTTTTGTAGTCCTTCGGATTCCTCCCCGCTGTCTGTAGGTATTTCACTCCCAACATGGAGAAGGTCGATTGCACCCAGAGCGATGCACAGAGACTCGAGCCGATTTCCGAGACAGAGAGTGAGAGAGAGGATGAGCGGTGCGATGCAAAGGCATCACCCGTGAAGCAGGAGTCGCCAACTGCAGGAGAGCGGTCGTGGAGCCCTACTGTGGCAGAGTGGTGCATGGAAGCATCACCAGGCTTGCTGAGCTGAAAGACCGGTGGAATAAAGAACTCGGGATTTTCACCGAGTTGGAGAAGGACGACCCGGTCCAATCCTGCTTAGAGGAACGTTTTGAGCAAGGCCCAGTGTCGCTCCATACTTTCATCGAAAACGATGCAAAGGGAGTGGCACTGATCCTCTTGGACTTTCAAGCCGGGTCCTCGCATTCGTGCGAGATCGAGTGCATGGTGTACAACTGCATGGAACAGCAGGTGGAGTATCGCTCTTGGGACCCGTAAACCCCAGCTCCAAAGCACAGCACAAAGAGGAAGGCGATTAGTGAGGGGTTGTCCCGAAAGAATGCCCGCTACTTCTAATCCGAAGGCAATCCTCCATGGATCGCATCGGAAAACTCAGCAAGCACTCCAGGAGTATACTGCTAAAGGTTCCGGCGCATCCAGAAGTTGTCTCGTGAAAAAGTCGTGGGTGTCTCACTTCGTGTTCAGAGTTCTGTTTGCCAATCTAGCATCCTTAAGGTTAGCATTTACCGGAACCGGCAATGGGGTGGCCGTCGCAAAAAAAATCGCTTCCATTGCATCTGCTTTGTTGTGAAACCCCAGAAAATAAGTTTACTCTACATCGTATCTCAAATGTATCCCATTTTAAGCCCTTAGACCACTCTGTGTAACCTAGCATCCGTAAGGTCAGCATGTAGAAGCGTCGGCAAGCGATGCCGCCTCCAAAAAAAACACCTGCATTGCATCTGCTTAGTTTTCAAAGGTCAGCGAAATCAGGTCATAGAGGCAATGCCAAAACCCCCTAAATCACTTCAACCGGCAAGAAACGATCGACGACGAAGAAAAACCAGCTTTCATGGGCGTGCCGTTCCAACACAGTTCGTGACAGCCTGGAAACCACTCTTTTCCATAGAACCCTTCGAAAGTTTAAGGCGAATGGCTCCAAAACCATGGTGATTTCGTTGATTTTTCTCGCAAAATTTTAAACCGAAAAAATAGCTATATTTTTCCTGAGTGCCCAGGCGTTTTCGTTGAACCCAACCATAGGGTTGACCACCCCCGGCGCGACTTAGGACCCGCTTACCCGATGTGACCAGAGCATCCTCTGATGAGCCTTTGTCAGAACCAACGCAGAGTGGTGGTGGCACAGGCGATCGCAACAGCCCGGCCTCACCCACGGTCCATGATCCGATTGACGAGCCAGAAGACCATGCCCTGGCAGCAGTGCCGATTGCGGTTGTTGATCCTCCTGGATTCCCTGCTGCTGTCGAGCAGCTGCTTGTGCATCATGCCCCGATCTCTGGGCGCAGATGGCATGTGTACCGAGGGTGTTGGGGTTTAAGTAGAGCCACTGTCATTGCTGAGGAAGAGCTTGGTGTGCTTTTGCGACGTGATCCCAGAATCACGATGCGCTTGATCTGCATGAACCGAGCTCGCAATGACTTGCGATTCCCAATGCTTCGGATTACCGATGAAGCCGACGATCCACGCCGTGAACACCCCGAACCTGAGCCTTTCCAGTAGTTTGTGATGTAGTCCCTTCTTGTGAAGCAAGCTTGAGACTATCCTTGAGTTTTGACTTCAATGCACTTGTGAGGTTATCCAATGCTTTGGACGTCCATGTTACCAGCCATTTGGGAAGTCAGACCCACTTGGGCTGAGGAAGCCGATCCTGCTTTGCGCTATAGGCGATTGCGTGTTTCGACTTGGTGACTTGCACATGTCACCGTTTTGCGAACTTGCTGCCCCAATCCTTGGTGTCTTGAGCTAGCCAGCAGCGCTAGATTTTGGCATCACTCTTGAAATGGCTTGGAGGGCTTTCCCTGAAAGGGGCATCGGCCCTCTCACGCAGTTGAGCACTGCTCCTGCAGCACAGGTGAGGTCCGAGGTCCGTAGCAGGCAGTGAAGTTTCACACCCGAGGCTCAGGACTGCGGTACGTCCGCGCTCGGCTAGAGACCAACAGCAAAGTGCGGTGCGACTTTCTCGGCATGTGCATGGCGGCTTGTACAGGTTCCTTCTTCCTTGAAACTCGTTTGTCGAACAGTTCGAGTTTTCCATTGTTGGCTTGTAAGCTCAGTGCTTTGTCGCAGTGACGAACACAAGCAAATGCAGCACGAGGTCTTGAGGACTCATGTGCATTTGGGCGGGGTGCTTGTGTTTTACGTAACCTGCACCCAGGAAGGAAGGAAGGAGTTTGTAGTTTTGAGGAGTAGGTTTTGTGAAACATTTTTCCTATTCTCTCTTTTGGTTTTCCAGTCATGCAAGTTTGCCGCCATTGCATGTGTGCTGAGTATATGTCG